AACAACCCCAACCAGCAGTGGTCCATTGATGCGTTCTCGAGCTAAGATCGTATTTTCAATGTCATATTTTCACAATACAGCAATTTTGCGTTTCCATTCCTCTGTATGCGCCCACAGCGCGTCGGAGTGGCTTCTTGGCGACGCCTGTGGGCGAGGCTTCAAGGCCCAAGGCCATCTTATGGTCTGTTGGAGAGGGCGTGGAATGGGATGCTGGCCTACATGCACGAGCGTGCTGGCAGAGAAAGTCGCTCAAGAGGCGCGCCAGCAGAAGACATCGTGGCGATCACCGATCTGAGCATTGCGGCGTCGTTCGCAGCCTCGATCCAGGTCTAGCAGCCGCGCCGGACCGCACCCTGCGGGTGGTTGCGTGGCGACGTGCCAGCGAGCCGTCGACGAAATTCGTTATGGCTCCGCCCGAGGCCGACTCGGTTGCTCGTCACGGAAGATGCAGAGAGGCTGTGTCTCCAGCGACGCGCCTGCGCGTCTCGCTTCGGCTACGCGTGGTCGGCGGTGCAGAGCAGGCGGCCGCCAGTCTTGGAAATGCGTACCGATGATTGGCCAAAACGACTCGGTTTCCTGGGTGTGGATTGGCCTTAATCGCAGAAATGGATTCCGGCACAGTGATTGGCTGAAAGGTTGACCGAGAGGGGCATGCCAACGTCATGCTCAGCGAATGGATCGACACGGGCGGAGGCAAGGTTATTGCACTGTGATGATGAACCAAGAAGCCGAGCTCAATGACTCCGACCGACGGAACTCTGTCCCAGCACCCAGCGCACAGGAGGAAGGAGCCAGCTGCTCATTGTACTGAGCTACTTGGGAGGTTTAGGGGTCAGCTAGCACTTGAACTTGGTGGGTGGCATGCGACTTGTTTCTGCGCCTTCAAGCCTTGCGTTCAGAGGCTTCTGCACTGCCAGCTCATTTATCGATTTGCAATACCAGCATGCTACGCCTCGTCCGCTTTGCTGCGGTCCTCGCTTCCGCCGTGGCGCAGTTTCCCCCTGGCACGTGCAACAAGGAGCTCACAGACGCGACGTACGCCTGCGCCAAGGTGTTTCCCGGGCCCACGGGCTGGATCCTCGAGTCGCTCCTCAAGATGAGCGCGACGGCCGGGCACCTCAGCATTTGTTTTGGCGACCACCCCGAGTGCAACGACCTCCAGCGCCTCGTCTTCACGCCTGCGGGCGACTGCACCGTCCAGGTGTACAAGGCCAACTACGTCAACCTCCGCACGATCGTCACGCCGTGCCCGAACCCGCTCCCGCCGCGTCTCCAAGAAAAGCAGCTCTGCACGGCCTCGGGCTTGATTGCCTCCGAGTACTACGGCAACGTCTACACGGACGTCGTGCGCTCCAACAACAACGAGGTCTTTGTGTACAACGTCACGGGCAAGACGCTCATGGCCAAGAGCAACGGCCAGTGCTTGGAGGCCGTGCCCAACATGCCGCAGCCCAACTACGGCTACGGCACCGTGCGCACCGCGGCCTGCGACGCGACCAAGGAGCTGCAGCAGTGGATCATCGCTGACAGCCGCATCTACGCGTCGCAGTTTGGGTCCTTGACGTTCTGCTTGAGCACCGATCAGTTCCAGCGCGGCGCCATGGCCAGCGTCGGACCCTGCAACTTGGAGCAGCTCTCGAGCACGTCGTTCGTCGACTGCACGACAACCAAGCCCAAGTACGTCCGCCTCACGTCGGCGCGCGGCAACCGCCTCAGCGAGTACTACTCGAACCTGTACGTCAACGCGCCGGCCAACAACTTTAACGAGCTCTTCACGTGGGACCAAGCCAACAAGATGCTCAAGGTCGCCAGCAACAACCAGTGCTTGGACGCGTACAAGGACGCCAACGGCAAGGTCCGAGTGCACACATATGCGTGTGACGTCAACAACGGCAACCAAAAGTGGAACTTCAACCCGAGCACCAAGACACTCGAGCACGCGACCCATGCTGGTCAGTGCTTGGACGCCGACCCGACGTACGCCGACCGCCACGCGCAAATGTGGGCGTGCACGCCCAACAACCCCAACCAGCAGTGGTCCCTCGATACCTTCTCGAGTTAACTCAAATGGATTTTGATATATTTTCTTGCGTGATCCCGCTTAGCTTAGCTTTGCGCAGGATCATTGGAGGCTACTGTATCCGTGGCACCGAATCTCAAAGCCTTTGTGCACGCGAGCGACGGCAGCCTTAGGACTCCTTATCTCCCCACGGGAAGTAGACAGATGTTCGAAGTAATAATAATCGGATGAAAAATGGTGTCAATGGCAAAAAGGTTGTTGGGTTTGGAGAGGGATGGTTGCTGCACGCTTGCTCTTGCGCCTTCGGGGTGAGGGTGGAGGGTTAGAGGGGATTGTGAAGAGCCGCTAGGTGGTCTCGCATTCGGGGAAAGGGAGTGAGGTGGACAGGGAAGATGGTTTGCTAGCGGGGTAAGGGTGAGGTGATAAGGGCATATTATATTACAGAACTTCGTTTTCGAAGTCGAAGCGGCGTGTCGCAAAATAGTCCATTCTGACCAATCAGGAGCAGGCCTGTCTACTTCGAGTGGAAAGTTAACAGGTCGTGGCAGCCTTGGTGCGAGGCCGCTCTCAAGTATCAATGCATCGGCGGATCGTGACGCAGTGTTGTTTTAGAGGTAGAAATAAGTGTCGCGTTTTCTTTGTGTGGCAAGACTTTGCATACGTAGAGACTAGCCAACTCCTTCGTCTTCTTCTTCTTTTGCTCACCGTGTCTGCGCGGCTCGGTGAGCTCTTCC